ATGTTTCGTGTAGTGTTTTCAAAAGTGTTCGCCTTGTGAATTTTTGCATGAATTTGTTTTTATTTTAATTATTTAATTTTAGTAAGATCTTTTCAGTATTTACGAAAAGCTCATAGAACATTTCGGTATCGACGAAATTGGAACCAATTTTCCAAAGGTATGCTAGTCTTTCTTCTTCGTTAATGGACATATCTTGATGTCAGTGCATCGCTAATCGAAGCTTTTCTTTGTATAGGAGGTTTTTGACCCGCATGGATTCAAACCTTGTGATTTTTATGATGAAATCGGTAAGTACTTTGTCTGGTAAAATTTTTTTTAATGATTTCCAGTCTTTAGCGAAAATTCAGCGTTCCCTAATGGAGAAGTTGGAAAAAGAGAAACATGCTGTGAAGGAATCGAATATTCTGTCGATAGGTAGCTGAGTTCTTGTTATCAGTGAGCTTGGTTTATTTTTTTGTTTTATTAATTGTTATTTTCCGGGGATTCAGTCTTCCGTTCGGCATTCTTTTAATGTTGCTGCATACTCTTATGAGAAACATGAAAGGAGATCAGGACGAAATTAGACTCGAAAGTAAAGAACGTGTGCCACAGAAGCGATCGTGACATCTGCTTCCTCTTTAAGCTGCATAAGAAATCAACAAGCCTCTGTAGGTGACTAAAGTGTACATCAGAGTTGCGTTTGACTAGAATAAATGGCGAATTCTATGTAAGACACTGGGGATTAGGATGTTTCTGAGCGTTTCCTTCAATCAGATGTATCGAATGTAGTTGTTCATGTATAACATCTGCCCCGGTTCGCGTAAGAAATGACCTTTCTAACCAGTGACCCCCAAAACAAAAATTTAGATGTTATGCACTATGGGTATGACTTTTCGTAAGAGTCAGTATGTGAAACCATATTCATGATGTGGGGCTCCACATCCGCAGACTTTGACTTTGTGCATAAGAGCCTTCTATATATTTCAGACTAATTAAGCGGCGAACAAATAATAATGTTTCAAAGATTAAGTTGTTAAATTTTGTCTTATGCAGTTACCAGAAGAGTAACGAGAACAAAAGCATAGTAGTATTGTATAACCTTGGGATGTTTTCCTCTCCTACATTTGCGTTATTGGCACGATTTTGCCATCGTTTTTCGATGGAGCCTTTGGTTCGCAGCCTTATGTTTGAAGGCCACATCTACAACTGTGCAGCATGCGCAATGTTTGATTTTTCATTTTCCACCCTCCTATCGCGTTCGCTGCTCATTTGTCTACCTCATTAGATAATGGAATACGAGCGAACAACGCAGATTCGAAGCCACAATCTTCAGGCTGGGCGTTCTTGCGGCTGAATTTCGTTTTTATTCTTGAAGGCAAAACTTGACAACCTTTCTGCAGAAGCTCTAGCTCATTACGTAATGATGATCGCTAGGCATAGGGGCCATGAATAAACTCACTTGCGTCCTGATCAGACAGTACCTCTGTAAGCTGTACAAAACAATGGTTTCGCGCAGGATTAGGCAACTTGTTTTGATTGCCTCTCTTATTTGATCACTTTCGCATGCATGAAGGCATTCGGCCTTGCTTCGCAACCAAACTTTACCTGCTACAAACATTGCTTTTAAACGTAGTGCTTGGTGGACATGAAACGGTTCGATCAGCGCTCGCATGCATGAAATGTTAACGACGACATTTGAACATCATATAGACAGGTTTCATCAGAATGCCGTGGTAAGTAGCTAAGCTCGCTTGCCTCATTTCAGTATTTACATGAGTGCTAGGAGAGACTATTTTTGTAGAGCAAATATCAGAAGCCGCAGTTAAAAGTGGATAAAGTACGAAGCACAAGTTCGATTTCTCATAAGCAAAATACCGGTCTCACCGCATTTATTGCACCAATTGTAGCAAATTTGGTACATCCTTTCTGCTTTCACTAATTCACGTTCTCTGAGCTTCTGATCTTTAAGTATTTCGCCAAATCGGTTAAGTTAAACTTGAGCGTGACCCTGTGATTTTAAGCAACGCACATTTTGAGGGTATGAATGTGATTGATCGATGCCAAGGGTTGACTTAACTGTTGAAATTAGACATGGCATTGCACCCAGCTTTAGGTAGTGCATGATCACTTCTTGCGTGTTATATTATCTAAGCCAAAACAGGACGTCGTCAGTCTCAGTCGCCTATTGTCAGCATTCCTGCCGTTGCCCCATAGAAATCTGGCCTGTGGCGTTAATGGTGCTAAACTGATCCGAAATCGGAGAGACTCTTAAAGCACATTACTCGTCCATGATTCTTGTAGTGTCACTCTGAATCCCCGTCAGAATTCCACGATAGTTCTGTACTGCGAATACTTACAGCCGCTTCAAAGGCACTGCAAATGATATCCTCAGAGTAGGAATCAAAGAGGGTTTAGACTGTTTGAATGGTCTGTGGTCATTGTCATCATACCGCCAGTACAAAAAAATAAACGATTTATTAAATTTCCTTCCTGATAGTTTAATAAATTCTATATTGAATAAACCGTGTTACTGAACAGGTTTTTTTGGATTCAAAGCAATTCGCGTTTGTTCTATGGCTTATTTGCGTTCGAGCGTTAATTTGTTTATGCATTGTTCCAAAAAGGCCACTGTCTTTGTCTTAAACGATTATTGGTGCAATAAAGTCTTGTTTAACATCAACCATCAGGCTTACTTTACGCTCATAACCATTGAATCGGGAATTTAGTGAATTTTCCCACCGGTATTGTTGCTGCCGTTTTCATTTAAATAATCAGATCTTTCCAATGCAGATCGTAGCTTCCTTATCTTGTGATATTGTCTTCAGGTAAGGTTAGGAAACCTTGGGGAAGTTTTGTTTTCTGTAGCTCTATGCCTGACACGCTTCTCTTTTGGAGCCACTGGGGTTTCTGTTGCAGATAGTCTAGTTGCTGGAAACTGTCATCAGCTGAAGTACCAACAATGATGCCCAAATTTGAGCCTTCAAATTTTTGTAATTAGGCCTATAGTTTTTGGTTAGTTTTTAGACTAATGGTTTCCTTTCCTGCTATCCTCATGGTTGCAGATCAGAGATCAGAGATGGTTTAAGCACAGCTGTGTTTGAGAATTGCGAGGAGAAATTGTTACATAGGTTATGTATCATCTTTTCATCAGCAGAAAATAGGCTGTTAGTACATTGTTAGACTGTAACCATTCTTATGGACCGTTGATGCCACAGTTGCGCCAGCCTGAGTAACATGGACCACGTATGGCATAGAAGGATAACTGTGCCTTTCACAATTTCCCACTACCGTCATTTATTGATGTTATTCTTCCTAATGACAGCTCATTATTCCGCTGTTCTGCTAGCATGTGCTAGATCGCGTTCACTCCATGATTAAGGGGGTAGGTTGAAGTTTGAACACCCTACTGTGTTCATTAAGTTGGTTTGATTTCTTGACAATCCATTCATGAAAGTCTGTTTTTGGTTTCCTTCTGTATTACTACTAACTTTCACATCACACCCATATATTGATCATATTTAAAGTAGCTTTGCAGGTCCACAAATTGATCGATCCCGGTTGAGGTGTGAGTGACGATAAGTAGTCGTTCACTGTCGAATATTGCATTCGTCGCAATGTTTTTTTGTTTCTTCATGTAAATTATTCGAATTATTATTTATCGCATGTTCTGTTTTCAGGCGAGGACAGGAAAAGAAAATCTAAATGGGACAACCCTCCCAGTGTCATCCAGTCATTGCCACCTGTCGGTAAAACCGCAATTTCTTTCACACAGTATAATATCACGGTTCTTAAACGAATTGCTTAAGGCATAGGAGTTAAGAAGAATCGACCTCTGTAGATTTCGTTCGACTCCGGTTAATCGTCCTCTGTATATCGGGATTGCTTTTTGTACAAAATGAATAAAAGCTTTTTCATACAGAAATTTTTATTTTTTGGTTTTACTTCTTACAGTAATCATCCTGTGTGTGCGATGCTACTTCGAAATTTGTCTACCTCTTTGCATAGTATGATACTTTGGCACCGGTGCTAAGAAAAATATCAACGTTTTAGATTACGTTTGGTTGTTATTGAGCCTCTGGTAATTGTGATTGCTATGATGTGAATAAATGTTTTTTTCAAGTAGTAGTTCTTGGTGTTCTGCTATAACGCATGTACACTCATTATATCGTAGATGAGGATATTTTGGAAGTGAAATTCACAACCATTTGCTATATGCACAGTCAGTTTCGGTGGTGCGCATGAAAATCAGGTGAACTGACTGATGTAGGTGGAAATCGTTCTAGAAGGAGAACTCGTTTCGTAATAGGATTCAGGTTTTCGAAATGCCCCAGTGGTTTGCAGGTTCATTTAGACATTTGATACCCACAGAGCATCAACTGACGACGAAAGTCAGGATGTTTGCATCTTGAATCTTCCTGATTCTCTTGTGTAGTCAAGAGTCAACGACCCGTTAAAGATAATAGCTGCTGAAACGCCTTTCTTTAGTAATTACTCCTCCGTGTTCTTCCGTCTGTTCACGAGTCCCTTGTACGAGTATTTATTTACGCTGGCCGTGTGGTACTTTTTAACTTATTGAAAAACGACAGTAACACTTGGAAGATGAGTAATAATCTATAACATCAACAGAATAAACGCTGAGGAAATAGTTCATCAAAGCAAATGCAATCAAAGCGGTCTGTCGTTTGGGACGATCGTTATTGATCGACTATAGCCATCCAGTGCATATGAAATTCATGAAAGCATCCGGGAACTTGGTCATTATTCAGTTGTCTTACCTGTACAGAGCTAAATCAACAGTCAGTCTTACAATTCATCGCCGAGATCTTTCTACGCCGTATGAAAAGAGAATTCTGCAATAATTCAATCAGAAAAAACGGACAAAAAAGATTGACATGGCCTGCAGGTAGGATAGTGGCACAGATGCAAAAGAGAGCGGTGGGGAGGGCATGTCATGGTTATGAGGTCTGATTGCCAAACAAACCTAAATCCACTTCCGATGGAACGGCAGTAAGACAAGTCATTTTTTAAAGGTGCTCGTGATGCATAAACTATATAGGTTTCCTTAAAAAGAAGTTTTACGCAGAATGGACTACTGGTTGAACATAAATTTCATGCATTATTCACTGAGAGAGATGAATACACTGTCTTGATTCACAGTTACAATGAAACAAATAAAATTCCCTGTGAATAGCCACTCTCAAGTCCGAAACAAGCTCCGCAATAATCCTGTACCTCCCGAAGTTCAACTACCTGCACAGTGGCCCAGCTTGGTGCATTTGTTACGCACTTAGAATGATGAAGCTTACTGGAACCGAATTCCTGGTTTGCGTTGGACGGACGTAGCTTTGTCAATTTATGCAGATGCACGGAGAATGCCGTTGACAGCCCTTGGTATAAATGAAAAGCAAAGAAAAATGACTGAAAGTAATTAGGGGTTTACGGCTAATTCAAAGAACTATCTGCCTCTAGTTCATCAGGCATAGGTCATATCCCTTCTCTTCATATTTCAGAGCGTAGAGAGTCTTTGAAAGGTTTTATAATGCAGAAACAGTTGCAGCTCCAAGGCCAAACTGACTGTCATGACCGAATCACCGCAGTGGATGATTCCACTGCCTATGAGCAGACGAGATGTGCTCATATAGCTTATCAAATCAACATATCTGTTCTTCATGGCAGAACTTCTGTAACAATAGCCAACTGATTTCAAGTCGGTAACTGCTATAATAAAAGCAACTTTGCGTTTATTCAGAAACGTAAAGAAAGAAAATCTGTAACGGTTGGAAGGTCGGCATTTCTTACAGTTCATTATATGGCACATGTGGTGCTTTTATTTTAATGAAGTAAATGGTCTGGCTCCGATTTCCGTTATTTGCCATCAGCAAATCTTGAACTCTTTCAAATGCAAAGTCGACAGGAACAGCTTGGGAACATAATGCGCAATTTTGTGCTAACTTCCAACATAGTGGCGCACACTAAAAGAAAGAAAAATAATTGAAACCTCCGTAGCCGAAACAGTTGAATAACTGGTTCTGAGTGATAGCTCTATCGATTCAGCAAACACAGCCTACAGTTATTTAGAATGGTTTATCAACCAACCAATCAGAATATAAACAAAATTCTTATGGTTATCACAGTAGAGAAGACTAGAGCGTAAAGGTAATAAAATGAATAAATCATTAGAAGTTTACAAGATTATAAACATTAGTCATGTGTTTAATATTTCAAGATTTAGCTTAATAATATTTTTACTGCTGATCCTTTTCGTACCACTTTCCTTTGCACATGCGTCCATTTTTGTGTTTATCTTTCACTCTCTTTTTAAAATCCTATAATTTCTTAAACGGAATTGCGACGCTAATATTTCTTACTGTTGTAGAATTCTCATTCTGCGTAAATAATTTGCTACTTCGACCTTACTCTGATTCAGAACGATCGCGTATTCATGTTCTTTAAAACATTTTTTTAACTAAGAGAATATTAGTGACTATTCAATGATTGATGCTTTTACAAACTTAAGTTATTGCTAGTGTGTAAATACGCTAGAGCCTTTATTTAAAAAAAAAACATCTTTTGGCCCTCAGACTTTCCCTATTTACACTTTTCCCCTTCTGAAATGTTAAATTTCGCATAATTTACTTTCTCTCGTACTACCGAACTGTTTTTTCAGCCTTAAAGAGTCAGCTGACTTATTTTTCAACAAAAAATACGCAGAAGTTTGCACTAGTCAGCAACTTGTGAAGCTATCAATTAAAAGTTAATGATGCTTTTTCTGTAGACATGACAAACATTAGTTCATTCAAACTTTTTGTTATTGGAAGAAAATGCGCAAATTTCGTCAAATATTACAGCTACAATTTGCCTTGCAATGCATAACCAAACTTTATTAATTAAATTTAGATTGCTTATAACGATATAAGTTATAATTCTTATATCAGTCGTATATTAGTTCTACAGTATATCCAAAATGCATTTGTATCTTTCTCATCAAGTGGTGGTTTAGTACCTTTGCGGTATGCGTTACTTGGCGATATTTTTTGCTGTTATGATACGTTGGCAGTAGTTTTAAACATTCTAAGTGTAAGCGTAATTGCTGATATCGCAAAGCTTTAAGATTTTATTTAAGGTTGTAAAAGTTTGGTTTAAGTTTGGTAAAAGTTTTGACGGTAACAGAGTTTTAAGCACTTGTTTCTGTTTCAGTAGTCAGTTAAAGAAATTTAAATATGTGTATACATATTTTTATTATAAGGGAAATTCGTAGAATAGGAATGTTGGTATACTATTTAGTAAATTTACTTGATTTATATAAATTGTTCCTTTCGAATCGCTACATCAAATTACGCCTGTTACTGCTTAGGCAATTGGTTACGAAGTCTCCATATCTATATCTGGGCGCGGACGTTGACTCATGAGGCAGTGTCTCCAGCATTCCTGATCATATGCCTGGGTTTGAACTTTGATGGAAGA